AGAAAGGAGGAAGAAAAGATTGCCTACTATCCTGTCATATGATATTCTCTCCCTCTCCCTCTCTCTCCCCCTCTCTCTCACACACACATCACATTTGTGCACATGCCTTCAAGTCATTCTTGACTCCTAACAACTGACTGGACAAATTCCTGCACTTTTTAGTAAGATTTTGGAAGTAGTTTGCCATTGTGTTCTTCCTAAAGCTGAGAGAGAATGATTGGCCCAAAGTCACCCTGCTGGTTTTGTGCCTAAAGTGAGACTAAAAGTCAGTCATCTGGTTTCTAGCCTCTTGCTTTAACTATTACAAAAAAACTGGCTTTTATATAAACTCTACTTATGTGATAACCTAACACTTCAGAAGAACTGGGAAGAAACAGCTCATTTTTTTCCTGTCAGAAAAAGTCTCTCAGCAGGAGGAGAGAGGAGGAATAGACTTGGAACAGAAATAGAAGAGAAATGGCTAGCAAACCAAAATGAAATTAAATAATAGTGGGTTCCTGAACAGATGCAGGTTTCAGGCTGATTTAAGAATCCCAAAGAGGAATCGGCATAGAGATCATTATGCCAGGAAGACATGGTGTAGGATCTGTCTCCTGGTACTGAGATTCAGAGAGAGAAGAGGCTCTGGAGATACCGAAAAGAAGATTTAGGTTAGGGTATGGACGGTTGCCAGCTAAGCTTTACCTGAAAGCTTTGGTTCACTCTCTGGGAAATTAAATTACAGCTATATACTTTTAGGATAGAATGCTGCCACATTAGCAGAAGCAGTTTGGTTAGGCAGGGCACTTATCTTGGAACAGAAAATCACATGGACAATACAATTAGGCCATAAAGCAATTTACCACATTTCTTTAAAAGCAGAAGCCAGAAAGGGGATGGGAGCTGAAGTTCTGGCTATATAATCCTTGTCTAGTTAATTAACTGAAAACAATCAATCAGAGAAACTAATATTTTGTACTCATGAAATACTACAAATAAAGAACAAATCGATCTGGTTCACAAGAAGTTTCTTGTGTGCTTGGGTCTGTTCAATCCTAAAAGTTCACAATATTCACAGCAATGTTGAGTATCCAAGCTGAATTCCATCCAGCATCTAAGACAAAAATATTTGTGTTGCTTTAGATCTTTTCCTGCCCGGATTATTAAATTATGGTAGGACATATCTCTGGTAGTAATTAAGAAGTACACAATATGGATTCTAATCTAAATATTGTGTGAATTATTTTAAAAAAATGATTCCCATAATGACATTCTAGCACTGCATTTAGGAATTGCAACTGGATAATTTTTAAAATTTGTTATAAATGCATCCAAAGAAGTAGTAACTCTCACTAATATTCAAATGACCAAACCCATGGTAAATATCATTGTATCCACTGCAGACCCTACAGAACAAATATCGAGGAGTGCAGGAGGATAAAACTGATTAGTGTGGGCCAGAATCTCTGGGAGTTGGATGGTATATATAGTTACTAAATTATTATTATTAATATTAAATCCAAGGGGTAATTTTCAATTTTGCAATTTTTAAATCAGGATTATTGATGTCAGATAAAAACATGTCTATTATTGGTTCATCATAATGTTCTTAATTTAATAAAACTGATGGTTAACTAAGACAAATTTAAAAAGAAACAATGTCTTTAGAAAATCAGCAGGTTTGGCAGCTTTTTTTTTTTTTTTAAAAAAGTCAGGTATTTATCTTTTCACTTCAGGAAACCACAAAAAATAACTACAATGCTGTGAATAATCTTGAAACTTCAAAGCCTACATGCCCAATGTAATGTTTTAATGTCTCATTAAACTACAGAGCTACTATAGTGAAAGTCAATAATTACCCAAGTTCTTTAAGACCAATGCCAAACATTTTGCCTATGATTAACAATAACAAACCTCACCTCACAAACAGAATTGTTTTTTTCCAACTTCTGTAGCTACTTGTTAGTACACTGAGCTCCCACTGAACATTACTGTCTTCCAGAGAAGAGGACGACAAGATTCTCTGTATGCTTCAGCAACAAATTTGGCTTACACATTATAGTTTATATTGGATTCGAGAAAGAGAAACTATAGGAAGTGAATCTATTTGTGTTGCCTACTCATAGAGAGAATTCCAGGACTGGATGGATCTTTCTTTCTCCCATAATCCTTGTGCTACTTCCTGTGTTGCTGCAAATGTTTCTAAACATCTAACTGGCCAGAGCTGGTGGGAACTATAGTCCAAATTATCTAACAAGGTCAGTTTGCCTACCTCTGAGTTCAATAGATTGCTACACAAATTCATTTCCCACTTGCTACCCATGAAAACCAAGAACATTTTCTAATTGAAAGGAAAGTTATATAAAGTTGCAAGAGACAATTTAGGCCACCCAGAGCAAGACCTTTGCTCAGTACTGCTTTCTTAAAACATAATTTAGTTGCAATGCTATTATCTACAATGACATATAAGTAAGTCAAGGTAGTCGGCTCTTAAATTATAGTCCACTATCCCAAAATACAAATCAGACAATAGCAGTGAGCTGCATTTGGAACAAGAGAAAGAATAACAGGAAGAGAATTTGCATATAAATGACTAAAAAACCCTTCTGGGTGAAAAGAAAAGGAATTTGACATTGCCGAAAGCGCATAAAGATGACAACAATCCTAAAAATGGCCCCTAGGATATGCAGCAAAATTAGCCACAATTTAATTCTTTATTTGCTCTCACCCTATAGACAGACTCTTGCCAAATTAAATCTATATCATTCTAATCCAACAGATGTACCCTAGGAAACTCTGGGACATGGCTATGCTAAATCTCTTCCTCAGACTCCAATCCAGCTTTGGGCTGTATTGTCTCTTGTCTCGTCCCCTTCCTTGGAACATGCTCTCTTCTTCCTGGGAAAGTGCTATTTCATGGTACTACATCATGCCACCTCCTCCTTTGGAGACATAATCCATCACACATACAGTTGACAGTCTATGGTTGAGTAAAAATCTGGCTGCCCAACTTCTCTCTGCTTCCAATACTGTAGATCTTTAAAGAGTTTTAATTGTTGCCATTTAGTTATTGGGCTAACTTCAAAAGGCTTGTTTTAATTTTTGAAGCTTTAAGTCCACAGGGGGGTTGGGGGGATTTTCCAAACAACTTCATTGGCTTTGGCTGGATCTGTTGGAAGTTTATAGACATGCCAGGAAATACAGCAGTTCAAAACAAGAAAAAACCATGCCAAATATACCAGTGGTGGGATTCAAAAACTTTTACTACCAGTTCTGTGGGCGTGGCTTGGTAGGCATGGCCATGTACCTGGGTGGGCATGGCTTCTTTTTGCAGCCCCCACCCATTTTTGGGAGCTTCTTAGCCACAGAGGAGCCTCTGGGGGGCGTTTTTGCTCCCCTAAGGCTCCTCTGGGGCTCAGGAAGAAAAGGAACAGAGCATGGGAGGGGCACGCAGCACCCCTCCAAGCTCCCTTTTGGGAGCTTCCTAGCCTCAGAG